CCTGTGGCTTCCACAGTCTGTCTCCCCTTCCCACCCCGGTCCCTCACTGAGATAACCGGAGTTACACTCTCACCTGTAGCCCCGGCCATTCGGCCTCTGGCTGCCCCACCTGGAACCCCTCTGCCAGGGCCACCGCTTGGGCGCCGGTATCAGGACCACATTCCCAGACCCAGCCCTGCATTTCCTCCGGCAGGATGGTCAGGAACTGCTCCAGGATCAGCAGCTCCAGGATCTGCTCCTTGGTGCGGCTCTGCGGCTCCAGCCAGCGATGGCAGAGCTCCCGGAGGCGGCTGTAAGCCTCCTGGGGCCCCTCGGCCTCCTGGTAGCAGAATTCCCTGAAGCGCCTGCGCTGTGTCTCCGGGCTGATGCCATAGCGACGCAGGATGGTGGCCTTCACCTTCCCATAGTCACTTGTCTCTGTGATGTCTAGGCTGCCATAGGCCAACTGGGCTTTCCCGGTGAGGTACAGCTCCAGTCGGGTTGTCCATTCCTCTCTCGGCCACTGGCGGGCGTCAGCCACCTGCTCAAAGGTGGCCAGATAGGCCTCGATATCGTCCTCTGGGGCCAGCTGTGGCAGCTCCAGGGTTCTCCATGCAGGTGCTGGAGTTGGCTTAACCTCGGCAGGGGTCTGCGTGGCTGACAGCTGCTCCTCTCGACACGGTGCCGTCTCCTCCGGCAGCTCGATCCCCGCCTGCTCCAGACCCCTGGGTGACTCACTGCCCCCCTGGGAGGTGGGGTTTTCACATCTACGTGCACAAGTCGGTGCTGGCACAACTCCGGGAGGAGGCGACAGCTCTGGTTCTCCATGCCTGAGGGCGCAGGCCGGAGCCGGCCCCACCTCCGGGAGGATGCGCAGGGCCTGCAGCACCTCCTGCCAGACGTCCTCCCAGTGCTGCAGCATCTCCTTCTGCGACGCATACTGGGCCTGCTGTGGTGCCACCCATCTCAGCAGCTCCCCAATGGTGCCGGACTGCACCACAATAGGCAGCCCGCCCGACCGCTCCAATCCCGCATCTGGCTCGGGCCCAGCTGAGACCTGCTGCTCCGTCAGTCCAGCGGGGCACACCGACTGCTCCACCTGGATCTGAAACTGCAGGTCCAGGGCCCCCTCTGCTCCCGGTCCTGCAGCCATGGCTGCTCCCCGGGGGTGTCCTTATCCCAGCAGGGGATGAGCCCAGACCCCAGGCCTTTCTGTCTCATTCATGCCCCTGGCAGGAAGCATCCAGCCTCTGGCTTCCCACCTCAGTGTCTCGTTATTGACACCACGTGAGCCGGGTGGGGGATCAGGTCCGAGGGCCCAGAAGCACAAACTGTCTCGCAAATCCAGAGCGACCTCCTGGAGCCGGCAATGCTGCTGTCTGGAAAGAGGGGCTTCTCCCGTGGCTCCTGAGAGGGCAAGGGAAACACAGACAGTGAGGGGGCAATTCCGTGGTACCGAGGGATTTGAGTGCTTAGCTCAACCTGCTAACTCCTGGTAAAAACGACAACGGCCGAGTTGTCCCCTGGGACTGTGCGTCGTGTTCACTAACACTCCTGTCCTCCTAGTGTGGACGCACCCTTCCCTGCCAGAAAAGCTGTGTTCTTACAGCCAGCTAGTGACCATCTCTCCTTGTTAGAGAATCATCCCAGAGGGGGGATGGGGCAATGAGGGGCACAAGCCAGGGACCTTCGATAAGCCGAGTTCAGTTCCCTGCTCTGTCAGACTCCGTGTGTGAGGCTGGGATACATGCAGAGCTTCCAGAGAAACATTCATAACAGAAAGACCCCTGCTCACCTCTCCCACTCATACCCCCAGCTTCCTATCCCTCTCAGCACAGCCAACCCCCTCCTTGCATAGGGTTGCAGCTGTGTTATTAGGGTTTGTCTACATAGGGAAATTGGCTGGCACAGCAACAGTGCAATAACCATGTAGTTGGGCTGAATCTGTCCCCCACGCAGCATAGGGCCCACACTGGCTCTGACAAATGCCCAGCAGAATCATAGAATATCAGGGTTGGAAGGGACCTCAGGAGGTCATCTAGTCCAACCCCCTGCTCAAAGGGGGAACCAATCCCCAGACAGATTTTTGCTCCAAATCCCTAAACGGCCCCCTCAAGGATTGAACTCACAACCATGTGTTTAGCAGGCCAATGCTCAAACCACTGAGCTATCCCTCCCCTCAGGAGGCAAATGGGATCCTGGGTGGGTCTGTTGCCCCCTCCCTGTTCCCCAGCTCACACACTTCGTAATCCTTCGCCTCCTCTTACACAAACACCCCCCAACTCCTTCTGTTAGCATCACACTCCACATGCTCTTCCCATGCACTCGGCCCCCACACTCCCCACCGGCAAGTGCTGGGGTTTTGTTCAGCCGCGCTGGCAAGCCCCCGCTGTCTGTGTGCAGGGAGAAAGCTGCAGGCTGATCAGACCTGCTGTTGTTCTCTCCAGTTCCGCCTTTGGCTGAGCTTTCCCTGTAGTGTCTAACTCCTCCCTACTTGTGCCCTGCGTTTTAACCCCACGTTAGCCTGCTCCGTTTCCACCATGCTTGGCGCTTCCACTGCATTTGGACAGAGAACTCCTCCTCCCTCCTGCCAGACAGAAGCCTCCCGGAAACGGGGAAAATGTTTTGTGGGCAGAATTTCCCAATGATTACGTTTGCAGATGACACAAAGCTGGGCGGGGGGTTACCAACCCTTTGGAGGATAGAGCTAAAATTCAGAGGGATCTTGATAAATTGGAGAACTGGGCTATAGCCAACAAAATGAAATTCAACAGAGACAAATGTAAAGTGTGGCACTTAGCGAAGAAAAACCAAATGCACAAACACAGAATGGGGGGAACTGTCCTGGCAACAGCACTGCTGAGAAGGATCTGGGAGTTGTGGTGGATCACAACCAAAACACGCGCCAGCAATGCGCTGCTGTTGCAAAAAAGCAAATGCAATTTTAGGTTGCATTAACAGAGGCACAGCATGCAAGTCATGGGAGGTGATAGTACCGCTCTACTCGGCATTGGTTAGGCCTCAGCTGGAGTAGTGTGTCCAATTTTGGTCACCAACGTATAGAAAGGATGTAGAGAGAAACTGGGAAGGACCCAGAAGTGAATGACAAAGATGATGAGAAGGATGGAATGCAAGTCATATGAGCAAAGCCTGAAGGAACTGAGTATGTTTAGTTTGGAAAAGAGGAGATTAAAGGGGGACGTAATAGTGGTCTTCAAATACTTGAAAGGCAGCCATAAAAAAGATGGAGAAAAGAGGCAAGAGGCAATGGGATCAAACAGAAGATTTATGTCTATACTGGCAATTGAGCGACAAAACTGTTGTCGTTCAGAGGTGCAAACCACTCCCCTCCAAGACAAAAGTTTTGCCATGGCAAGTGTCATTGTGAACAGTGTGTTGTCGGCAGGAGCGCTGTCCTGTCGACAATGTGAACGCTGTTCATTGGGGGTGCAAGTATTTTGTTGGCAAGAGTGCTGACAAACAGCGGCTACACTGCCCGACTTTTAGCGACACAGCTGTGTCGACACGGCCATGTCGCTAAAAGCTGTGTAGTGTAGACAAAGCCTAAGATTAAATCTTAGGAAAAACTTCCTAACGGTAAGAACAGGAGAACAATGGAACAGACCTGCCTAGGGAGGTCGAGGAAGCTCCTTCACTGGAGGTTTTCAAAAGGAGGCTGGATAACCAGCTATCTTGGATGGGTTAGTGTGATGCATGGCTAGAAAGGGTTAAACATCCTGCAAAATAAATAACCCTCAAAAGACATGTGGGGAGATAATGTTTGTGGTTTTGTGTATTTACATATGTATGAGTAGGGTCCACAATGTAATCAACACTCGTATCATTTAAATTAATTGTAATGTACTGTGAATGGTGGAGGAACAAGCAAATGGCTTTATGTTAATTCATATAGCTAAGTACCGGTGATGGACCTCCTTCCAAGTCATCCTAATTACCTTTTGTTCCCTGAGGAATTCCAACTTGTCAAAAGACATGTGTAGCGGGGTGGTCACTCGCTCCTGCCCTGAAGGGCATAAAACAGCCCTTGGAGAGGGCTATGGTAGGGGAAACCTGGGCTGATTGGGGAAGTAGTCACAGCTGGGCCACGCCCCAATCAGGCCACAGCTGGCCCTATAAAAAGGCTGTGAGCCAGGCACTCAGGAGACTCTCTCGCTAGCCTTTGAGAGGGAGGGGCCTGGCTGCTGGGGAGTGTACCTGAGGTGGAGCAGGGCTGGGGGAAGGCCAGAGGAGCTGGGGAGCTCTGGCCTGGAAACCCCTCAGGCTGCAGGCCTTGTATAAGGCTGAATAGGTATTGGGGTTGCAGGGGCCAGCCCGAGGGCAGAGGAAGGCAGCAGGCCCAAACCCTCCTTGCCAGTGATGCTTATACTGCAGTCTGCCCCAGGGAACGGGGGCTAGTTGGTGACTGGCAGTAGCCTATGACTGAGGCGAGGTGGGGATAGGGGGTGGGGGTTCCCTGTGGAGGGGAGACCCTGAGACTGAGGGGTGTACAGCCAGGGGGCAGCACCCCAGATAACGGGGCACCGGAGTCCAGGGAGGGACATGGGGGCCAAGCGGCAGCGGGACACCGGCCTGCAGAGGGCGCTCCAGAGGCTGGAGAGCTAATTCCCTGAGACGACCAGCAGGAGGCGCCGCAGGGGTGAGTCCCACATTGCTACAACATGAAATTGTATAAAAGATCCTTAGGTCCTGATTCTGTCATCTCAGATCTGCTTAGGCTTCATCAGGGGAAGTTTGAGTCACAAGGCTGAGGTCCCAGTTATGCTGGGAGGCCCTGAATATGAGATTTGGACATTGGACTATGAACTATTTTTGAAAGAACTCTTTGCAACTACAAAGCTCACCATCTCTGCTATGAATTTGAACCTCAATAAATCGAACTCATGTCTGTATGTATATTGATCTTTTAATCCTACTCTCTCTCTTGTTTTTTAATAAAGTTTAGTTTAGTTAATAAGAATTGGCTGTAGCGTGTATTTGGGTAAGATCTGAAATATTCATTAACCTGGGCGGTAATGAGTCCGATCCTTTGGGATTGGCAGAACCTTTTCTTTTATATGATGAAATAAGATTTACAGAAATTTTCATCATATTTGACGTGGGTACCTGGATGGGGACCTGAGGCTGGATCACTTCAAGGGAACTGTGTTGTTTGGACTTCTGAGTAACCAGTAAGGTAATAAAGAAACTGTTTTATGCTGGCTTGGTAAATCTAAGGGTACGTCTATACTTACCTCCGGGTTCGGCGGTAAGCAATCGATCTTCTGGGATCGATTTATCGCGTCTTGTCTAGACGCGATAAATCGATCCCGGAAGTGCTCGCCGTCGACGCCAGTACTCCTGCTCTGCGAGAGGAGTAGGCGGAGTCGACGGGGGAGCCTGCCTGCCGCGTGTGGACTTTTGGTAAGTACCTTTAAGTTCGAACTAAGGTACTTCGACTTCAGCTACGTTATTCACGTAGCTGAAGTTGCGTATCTTAGTTCGAACTGGGGGGTTAGTGTGGACCAGCCCTAAGTATTGGAATATCCACCAGCTTTGGGGATTGTCTGCCCCATTCTTTGCAGTTCACCCTAATTGAGTGACCACAGCTGGCTCCCCACTAGGACCCCGGTCACAGTTAGACACAACAAATCCTGCATCTTGCAGGAGGTTAGACTAGATCAGTGGTTCTCAACCTTTTCAGACTACTATACCCCTTTCAGGAGTCTGATTTGTTTTGCGTACCCCCAAGTTTCACCTCACTTAAAAACTACTTGCTTAGAAAATCAGACATAAAAATACAAAATGTCACAGCACACTAGTACTGACAAATTTGCTTGTTTTCTCATTTTTGCCATATAATTATACAATGAATCAATTGGAATATAAATATTGTTCTTACTTTTCAGTGTGAAACTTGAGTCTGTTTTT